TATATTAAATATGCCGTTTTTGGAAAATTATACCGATTTATTGGTTCTATATAGACATTTTTAAATTATTGTTATCATTGATTTTTAAACCCATTTCAGTAACCTAGCCACCTAAGAGACAAAAAAATCAAAAAACCATAGCTCTAGTGCACGACTGCACTAGTAAATATTTTTAATATTTYTGATCCACTCTGTACCAAACTAAACATTTTTATTAAAATATAATTATTTCTTGATGAAATAATACAAAATTTCGAAAGTTAATAAATAAATGTTTTCAATAATAAAAACTAGGTATTTGAAATCAAATTTGATCATTCCAACATAATTCTTTAAGTAAATGTTACAGTATAAAGCCTAGACTAAACTCTAAAGTAGAAGTTTTGGACTAAATTTTAGGCAAAGGTCTGATTTTTTGCAYGCCTAAATATTCCAGTTCTTGTCACAAGCTTGAATTTTACTTGTTCGCGTAATACCTATAATATTACGTATAGACTCTGCACTCATGTCTTATTGTGTTTTGTAACACGCGCGTATTATGTTTTATATAGTATACTATTTTAGTAAAAAAAAATTTAATATTATTAAAAGCTCGCAGACTCGCAGTAATATGGTTTAGGCGCGATTTAATTGTGAAACGTTGTTTATTTTACGTTGGTTATATTTTTCCAACTATTCGTTTATGGTTCATTGCGTTCTCTCTCTAAATTCCTAAACTACATTATTATTATATTCTTAATCGAACCGACAACGGAAATATTTCCATAACTTGGTCGTAATTCATCCAGGGAATCCTGAGAATAATAAGTGTTCTATAAAATACATACACGCACTCTRATTTTTTTGTATTTTTCTCTCTTTTGGCAAGATGGCCCTCATTTCATATGCTACTCGTAGCCTGAACAATCGTGCCGAAACGCTTTTGTCCTTTCCCTCCTCAGCTCTACTGTTCAGTTCGAGACACTACAATGAATTCTAAATAAAAAAAAAACTGGCGCCGGGAACATAGCCAGCTTATACTTGTATGTATATTAAAAGGCATCTTGAATAATATTAATATAAATACAATGCTCTATATTATTATAATACCATATCAACGTATTATCTCATTACCTACTATT